GTGCACACATACATATATGTACATATGCATGTGTGTGTACTTTCTAGGATCGTAAATTCTATCATTCGCTGCAGGGCAAACATCTGTTCAAAGTCGTGATACCCTCTCTACCCTCTGTGTCTCTCGCCCTTGCTCCATCTCTCGTGCAAGGGTACTATATTGAGAATGTAATGAGAAACCTTTTATGGCACAAACACATGCTCGCTTTTCATGCTCCTCATGCCCCATGCCCCATGCCCCACTCCCCCTTGCCCCACTCCAGCTGCCCCCCAGTTTTATGGGGGGCCAAAGTTATCTTCTCTCGTTTTGCCTTTTAGTCGTAGTCTAATTTTATTTTGTTTGTCGCTTCATCTGCTTCTTACTCTTCTTCCATCTCCTTCTCCACCTCCACCTCCAACTTCTTCGTCTGCTACATTTCCATCTCCATATTCGCGCTCTTCTTTTGTCTACTTAGAATTAATAATTTTTGTTTTCATTTTCCTCCATTTTGCTCCATCCTCTGAGCACTTCTTATTCCTTTTCTTTCTTCTCGGTTTCCATTTCTTATTCCTTTTTTTCCTTCTCCGTTTCCACCTCTTAGTCATTTTCTTGTAATACAATATGTGTTTTTTTTGTTTTTTGTTTGTTTTTGTAGGTACTCTATATATTTTATTTTGTTTAATTTGTTCTTCTCTTTTGTTTTCTTTTGCTTTTTTTACGCTTTTTTTTTTTTGGTTGTTGTTTTTAATAATTTATATTACAAAATAAAAATCAAAAAGCCAGGGGCATGGATGGGACTGGGACTGAGACTGGGACTGGTGGGGGGCATACGGGCTTTTTGGAATTTGGCAAATGATTTGGCAGGTGGGCGACCGAGCCTCTCACTCTCCCTCTCCCTCTCACTCTACCCCACTCTTTTCTCTTTCATTCAGCCATCTCTCTCCTTTTCGCCTCCCACCTCTCTATCTTTGTGTGTTTTTTGTGCCTTTGTGTGGGTGTGGGGGGGCGTGTCCATTGGGAGCATTGGAGCATCTTTATCGAAATAACATTGTAATTGCTTTTTGATAAATGAAGCACGCGCTGCACAACTGACAGCCAACAAAAGCAACTAAAACAAACAGAAGGGGCGGACGGTTGGCGGGGGAGGGGGATTGGTAGGAGAAGGTGGGGAAATCCCAGGGAGAGGCATAAAAAAACGAAAACAAACTTATAAGAATGCCAGCCCCCCTAAAGAAGCGATAAACGTACCAGAGATTACCCTGGCATTGAGCAAATTTCAGTTTAGTATTGGAAGACAGGATTGGAAGATCTTGATCTAGAAGATATCTCTTGGAATACCATGATTGGAAGTCACATTCTATTAGGTGGGTGGGAGAGGCTCGGAAGGACAGAAGGTATGGAAAGGAAATCGATTCCTCGGGGTGGAAGCTGGGGGATATATAGGGTTTTGCCTCTCTCTAAAAACCCTCTTAAGTCCAACCCTTCCGATCTAATGGATCATAAATAGATTTAAAAACAGTACAGCCATGTGTATAAAGATTTTATTGAATCCTGATATTCGTATTCATTCATTATAGGGTATGTCAAGGGTCTATCTAGTTTGATTTGTTTCGTCCATCGTTTATGCCCTTGTCCCTAATGGGTATTGGGGTTATAAAAGCAAAATCGCTCGGACGTCTCACTCAAGTGAAGGCAATGCACCAATCCCATACCCCCAATCCACTCCTAATTCCCATTCTCCTCCACAACCACCACCCCACTGATCTCTTCTGGGTGCTGCAGCCAGAGAGCGGGTGCAGGGGGGCGGGCGAGGGCGGGGGCGGGGGCGCACGCACTCTCTGGGAAGACAATTTAAAATGTTGAAAAATGCTCAGCTAATTGGCAGTTGACAGCGTCGAGAGCCTGGGATTGGCTTGCCCCACAAAACCGAGAGGACAGGGTGGGACAGCAGTGGGACACTGGGATAGGGTGGGGACGAGGGCCGGTGGCAGGGGCAGACGGGTGATGGCTGTAGGGGCATATAAATTTAATTTGGTTTATAAAAAGTGCTTGAGAATGTGGAATGGGACGACGGAGAACATGGACCAACAACGAGAGCTGAAGCGGCCTGAAGTGGCCTCAGCGAACAACAGCTGAAAGGGGACGGGTGTGTGTGTGGGATGGATTGATGGTTGGATGAATGCTGTTGTTGCAAGGGCCAAGTGGCAAGAGGTGGAATGGGGCCAGATTGAAGCCGGGGCTAATGGCAGCCAAGTGGCCGCCAAATCCATCAGAGGTGGACCCAAACCCCGTTCGGCCCTCAGCTAATCCCAAAAAAAAAGCCAAATTGAATTGAAAAAATATTTAAATAATTTTTGGAACCAAAAAAAATAATACAAAAATATATAGAAACATAATGAAAGAAAAACGAAAAAGTTTTCGTAGAAATTTATGAAAGGGCACAGCAGCTGAAGGGTGAGGTGGAGAGAGCTGCCGGAAAATGAAGAAAACGAAAAAAGTTTAATCGGAAATTCTTAAGAGAATACTTTTCCGGGGCCGCGCCACTCCACTCCACTCCACTCCCATCCCATCCCCGTCAGCCTGGTCGTTCCCTCTTGCCAAGGAATTTTTCCATTTCATCTATTCAAAGAAGTTTCTCATAATCGACACGACATCCCCTGCCATTGCCCCTGACGCTGTCCTCCTGCGTTCAATCCCTTGTAGGAATCATCCCCCCTTTTTTGTCTTGAATGCATTTGCATATCCCAACTCTAATTTATATGATAAGTGGCGGACAAAAGGGACGACTCTCGGAGAACCAGAGAGTGGGCCACAAGGGGGGGCTTGAAAATCGATGACTTAGTTTTTCTGATTATTCCAATTTCTTCCCCAGCCCTTTTCCCCCCCACCGCCAAGGGTGTAGTATTCCCATGCCAACCCGTAGTAACAAATAAAAGTAGCCAAAAATGAGCTGCAATAACAAATCAAATTATATTTACATAATAAACAAATAAGGGATAAATTTTCCTCGGTTAGAAGGGTTTCGCGTCCTTCCATTATTCAACTGTTTTCTTCTACATTGGTATATATCTAAAAATATTATTGGCATTTCGAATTAGTCTTAAATTCTTGTGAAAAACAAAAACAAAAAAAAAAACATGGGAACCTGGAAGAGATTTCGCTCCTTGACAGAATGCATTGGTTTAACTACAATACAAACTAAGGCTAAAACTAAAAGTTGTAACTAGAAAATTAGTCGTATCTCTATGGCAATGGCTGCTCAGACTCAACAAACTTGTATTCTAAATGCAGCGGTGGGCAGTCGCTGCATCGTGCACACGAGATGTATGTTGTTTGTGGCCTTTGTCTCACAGCAGTCGCGATGACCTGTCCACCGCTGTTCCAATATGTAGGGGGGATAGCAGATAGCTTATACCATGGTTTCTTGAAGGACAACTGGGCTTCCAGTTTGGAAAACGCCTTGGAGATTGGAACGGCTTTCTTCTTAAGTTTTCCTAAGGGGTGCCTCTCTTTACTTCAGTACGAGTATATATATAATATATAGTATGTATGTATGCACGAGTATGTATAATTACTTATCAACCATTTTGAGTTGGGCTGAGCTGAAATTTCATTTCATTTTTAGTCAAAGTAACTTCCAGTTGGATAGGAAATCTTCCCTTTGGTTGGGAGCATAAACGAAATTTTGATCAAGAAACCAAAACACACTCCAAATTCCAGCTTTATCCAAGTTTTAATTAGAATACTAGTGTTTTTGGAATAAAATATGAAGATTTCAAACAGAATTTGTGCGAAAATTGTGGACTCTACGATGCCACACCTAAGGGATCTTGAAAGGCCCAGTAAACTAGCCTAGACCTTCTTCCACTCAGATTAAAATAGTAGAGTCAATGATTTCATTATGAGACAAATTTAAGGGGTATTATTCCGAACAGGATTCAACAGAGATCATTACCTTAAAGGGCTTTTAGGGGGTGTTTTTAGGGGCAATAAAAAAAAAAATTAATAACAATTAAATATAAATAAATTAGGGCTTAAATATGTACAGGCATTTTGCGTAGCGAAGCTTTCTCTTTTCTCTCTCTCTCTCTCTTTGCTTTAGACGTTTGATTAACCATTTAGTTTAGTGATTAGTTTAGTTTAGTTTAGTTAGTGGCTGCTCTAACGCCTTCTCCGTTCTCTTTGCTTATGCTCTCAAGTACAGTGTAAGTCAGTTAATTAATAGTTTACTTTGTTGTTACATTTTGTTTTGTTTTGTTTGTTTGTTTTTTTTTTTTTTTTTTTTTTTTAATTCAATTGAGTGTTGGTTTTCGTCTAGGTATAAACATTTAAAAATTTTGAAAAATATTTCGTTTTTTTGATTTTAGGTTTGAATTTTTTTGTTTTGTTTTTTTTTACGACAAAAATGTAGAAAAAAATTCTTTAGTTGTTTAATGTGATTTTTATAATTTTTGTTTGCTTAAGTTAATTAACAAATTATTTGTTATTTTGCAAGCGAGAGAGATACGACGATTGACAAAAATTTGTAGCAATTTGTTGCATTTTAGTTTGGTGTATGTAGTGGTTGGCCATCGGCCCCTAGGACTATCATTATAGTACTAGTATATATATATATATATATATGTATATATGTATAATATAGTTGTATATTCCGTATCTGTATCTGCTGTATAACTATGATATATGATATATGTATGTAAGTGTATATATAGGTATATGGTATATGTATAGTATATGGCATATAATGTATGGTATCTGTATATATATGTAGCTATGTTTTCCTATTCTCCTGTTTTCTTTTCTGTTTGAATGCATGAACGATGTACTCTATATATTAGCAGCATATACTATATACTCGTATGACTTGCTCTTGGTTTTGGCATTAGGATCTAAGAAAGGTAAGTGGTAAGTGGTAAGTGGTAAAAGGTAAAACTTAAACTTAATTGAGCGAGCACGTTGCTTGACTTTCGATCTCTTGATTTGTATCTGGATCTGGTTTTGATATAATTAAATGCATGAGATAATGCTTGGGGGCCTATAGCAGTGTTGTATTTACAGGTTTTTGGGGGGTTTTTATGTGTGTGTGTGTGCAGAATATCACATAGTCAGACATATAATTCTATATACGACTACAAGTTCTCAATTTTCGGCACTCCTCCTCGTCGTCGGCTTTAGACATGCAGCGTCGAGGAGTCCAGCGAATTCCTCGACGAACTCCGATGTCCACCGATCAGCGTGGCCGTGTCCGCTTCCGTGGCATCTGCATCTAGAAGGAAACGCTTGCGCTGCGGACGCAAAAACAGGAACATCACCAACAGCGACAGGAAAAAGGCCAACGCCCCAAAGGCCGGATAGACAACGCCACTCAGTTGGCTCGTTGTTGGCAAAGCACTGATGATGTACACCCGGTCCGTGGGATGCAGATGGGCATGCATCTTTGGCTGTCCACGCTCCGTTGTTGTTGTTGTTGTGGAGGTGTTGCCCTCTGTGGTGGTGCCCACCAACTGGCGCGTGTCCACATTGAGCTTCTTCGAGCGTCGCATCATGCCAGTAAGCTGCGGAAAATGGCAAACAAATACCGAGTTCCACGGATTAGTGATCACTCAGAGCTGCAACGGATGAGGGGGCGGGGGACGACGACTCACCTTATGCTTACACGTGACCTGTATATTGTAGACCGTGTCCGGCCACAGGGAGAGCTCGGCACGAGACGTGTCCGTGAGAAGATTGCCTATCAGACCGCCCCCAGACACCTCCCAGGTGATCAGGCACTGGCGCGAGGCATTGGCTATCATCTCGTCCCAGCCAATGTCGGTGAGCACGAGTGCTCCCTGTCGCTGGGCCCTGTGTATCCTCAGCTCGAAGGGCGACAATTGCTTTTGACAGTTTTCCCAGCACTGTGGCGGCCCGCGGCAAGGCAAGGCACGGCGCGGCAGCAAGCGTAATGGATGGTTGGATGGAGGGACAAAAACGGAGGAAAAACAGTGGAAAGTTAGCTATTTGTCAATTAGGTTTTGTAATTATGTCGCGCGCCCTCAGGTAGGCAATGAAATTCTGCTCATCTTTCATTCTCCTGCCCCCGGTTTTAACCCCTTATGGCCCTCTGGACAGTCCCATTTTCTTTCTTGGTTTGAAACAATTGTATTGGTCATGCTTCGCTTGGAATATCCTGAGGTATAGCCATTGTATGGCCCGAAACGGGGTTTCGGTATTTAATTAGAATTAGAAGAATTTCATTCAAGCATGAAAATACATTGAAAACTTCGTTAAATAAATATGTAAAACTATTTTAAATTCATTTAATCTATACCAGTTTTTGACTTCATTTTTGCAGTAGCTTGCAGTGGAATTACCAGCAGTACTCATCCCTATTTTATCTTTCATTTTAGGATTCATAAAAAATATAAAACAACGCCCTGCTAAAAAAACAAAAAAAAAAACTGTTAATCAAATATTTGAGACCCAGGGCTCTACATCCATCAAAACCATAAAACACACACACACACAAAAAAACAAAAATGTGACATTCTCCAAGTGGAAGATTTTCAAGAGCCAGCATTAATGGGTTAATGACATCGTTAGGAGGCTGTCACATGCCAGGGGCGTAGAGCGGCGATGGTGGGCGGTGGGGGGGAGCGTAGATACTTACATTTCTGCAATCAGTGGAATCCGTACAATAATGCCAGCCCCTCGAAAACTGTAAAGGGAAGAGAGAGGAGACGAAAGTTAGTTAGTGGGCGTGGCCTAATCGAATTTTAAGTAAGCTACGAGAAGAAAAAGTAATCAGGCACAGGACCCGAGGCGGTCTGCCAGCGAGGACAAACACAACAAGGAGTCATCCTCCTCATCTCGTTTTGTCCTATCCCTTGACTTGGTTCCTGCCTCACAGCCAAAGTCCTGAGCCCTGCCTGTCCTGCCTGTCCTGTCCTTTGCTTCTCCTCAACAATAGACGCAAATTTGTAACTTGTAATAAAAGGCAAAGCCGGCAGTCAGACAGACAGATAGGCAGGCCGGCAGGCCGGCAGGCCGGCAGGCAGGCAGGCAGGCAGGCAGGCAGGCAGGCAAAAAGAAATCTAAAAGTCTATGTACGTAAAAGGATATATATAAATGACCACAAACGTTGGCCTGTGGAGAATTGAAAATTTCACGCTCCTGGCAATGAGGATAATGAGGGGGATTGCCATGGCAAATGGATAAGGATGGAAGACGGAACGGCACGGAACAGATCGGGATCAAAACTGGACTGCCTGCTTAGCCTTTGTCAACTGTCGCCTTACGCACAGGACAAAACAGAACGCAGCTGAACAGAACAGCGGGAGGGGACGCTCTCTCTTTCTCTGATTCTGATTCCCATTCCCATTTCTGTTTCTATATCTATTCGTGTCCTGTCTTTATGAATGAGCAGGCAGAATGGAGGGACAGATAGACAGACAGACACACAATTGAATGGCAAAAACTGCGACAGAAAAACGATTAGAGATGGTTGCGTGACAAATTGTTATTGCCCCGAAATTTTACAATATTAAAAAATCTAAACTCCTTGTGTATTCAATGTCATTTTGCTGTCCAGTCCTCCCCCTGTCCGCTGCTAGACAGCGTGTGCGAGGGTTAAATAACCCCCCAACGAATAAAAAACCCATCATTGATCTTTGTTTTCCATCTTGATATATGTTTATTGCCTTTATGGGCATCATGGGGATTTTGTGCAATTTTTTGCCCTGACTTTTCAACTTAATTCGTTGCACTGACTAAATGATTCATTGACGATGAACAACCCTGTTCCTGGAGGCCTCGCTTGAATCACATTTGATTCGCTGTACAAATTGTCTCATAAGAGAAAGGAATCACGAGCAACATTCGCCACGATTTTTTTTTTAAGTTTTGAGTACAATTTCTATATATTTTTAGGGCAAAAATATGTTACTGCTTTGCAAGTAACAAAAACAAAAACAAACAAAATTTTATAAAACTATTCTAATTATTTTAAATAAATTTTAAACGCGAAAATGCAAAGTTTTTTCAAGTAAATGGGGACCTTTCGAAAATATTTCATTTAATAATATATCTTGTATTTCAGGCCCCCTTTGGATCCCAACACACACCTCAGATGTGACTGGATCGTTTCATCAAATCTACAATAGAAAGCCTCCTCTCGAGGCAGATGTCTGCATAAGAATGCAAGGACCAAACTTCTGACAAAGAAATTCACCCTATATTTCGTTTAATTAAATAAAATTAACATATTCGCATGGGCACATACATATGTCTTGAGGATTTCTATAGATATCTCAGGGTTGTTTTTCCATAGAGTCTAGATTTTCACTACATTCAGTCCGCATTGTGGGACTGACATTGATTTACTGTACAAATGTACCATAAGCGAACGGACACACTCATTAATTTTCTCCATCAATTTCCTCATTGAAACTCTTTCAGGATGTCCTTTGGCTATTTCTCTTTCACACTATGATAATCAAACAAAATTCCATTCGAATCCTTAGATACCCCTAAAAGAATTTAAAATATAGAATATATAGAATAGAAAACAAAAGTGCCCCCAATAAATGTGCAGCTCTCTTTTCAGAATAATTCCCAATCCGCATTGCAAAAAGTCTTTCCTCAAACATTTGACGATAGTAATTGCCATTGATTGTCTTATGCGATAATCCCATAGCAGTGGAAATCCTTTAAGTACTTCCTGAAACGCATTCTGCGATCATCCATCAAGGAGACGACCATCTCTAAGGATTCACATCCTTCCACAAACACACACACACACACACACACACACACACACACACACACCGAGAGACAGACAGGGGACAATGGCTGCCATCACCTTTTGGCCCAACATTGACGGCGGCGACGGGCGGCGGCACTTTGTCATCATTACACAATAAGGAGGCGGGGCAGAGCAGGGCAGTCGAAAAACCCAGCAGTTGTGGCAGATAAAAACGGGAACGGGAAAGACAGGGACAGAGGCAGGGCCAGGGGCAGGGGCAGGGGCAGGAGGCAAATTCCAGAAAAGGAAAATCGCAAAGACAACATATTTTCCGCTCAATTGAATTTTTGCCCTCTCTTTGCAAAAAAAAAAAATAAATAAATAAAAGAAGGAGACGCAAATGTTGAAGATGCAAGAGGAGGAGGAGAGCAGGGAGACGACGGACTGAAACAACTTGGGCGATAAGTAACAACAATAAGGCGTTCAAATGAATGAATGACTGAATGCCAGAATGAATGAACAGGGTACGGCTGAGGGAAGATTGAGGTATGAGAGACGGCTTTGACTCAATGAAAATGCTGAACTGGCAAATCATTCTGCCGCCGCCGCCGCCGCTTTTCCCACTTCTTGTACCTGGGCCCTGGGTCTTGTCTGTTTTGGGCCATATATAAATTAAACGCAGGCCAGCAGCGACAACTTTTACATGCAATTGTCCCAGACATTTTCACACCCATAGTGCCGGTGCCAGGGCCGGTGCCGGTGCCCCCTCCTCCTCCTCCTCCTCTGACCACATAAATTACCCAAAAAAAAAAAAAAAAAAAACTTACGGGAGGGTCACTCACTCATTTTTGCCCCCGTTCTCTTCCCACATTTCTTTTTCTCTATTTCTCTTATTTTTTGTTTTGTTTGAGGAGAAGCAATTTTTATGAGACACGTACGCATACGGAGATATTCGATGATTCCCACCACCAGCAGTAGCAGCAGCAGCAGCAGCAGCAGCAGAAGCCAAAAGAATACGTGCCTCGCATATCACATCAAGATCGCTAGAGTCTCCCACAACCACCTCTCCCACATGTGCATATATCCCAGCCACCCATCTAGACTATCCACCCACTGGTGGGTGGGGCGGAAAAGACTTTCATGGTGTTAATTTGGCGCTGATTGAGCCACGCATTCGGCTTTCGACGGGGGTTTCAGGGATATCAGGGGTTGGATTCATAAAGGATGGAACGGATGGAACGGATGCCTCGGATGCTACGGATGGTATGGTATGGTATGGCTCTGCTCTGTCTGCCTGACTGGATGGGTGGATTAGTTCCAGTATATTCCTTCGACTGGGCATGAAATTAGCTTCGCGCACGGCTCGACTCGAGTCCTAGACCGAGACCGACGGGCTTTGTCATCGTTCAACCCTTAAGAACTTTTTGACTTTCAACGAATAGACTTCAAAGGGCAAATGCTCATGATGATGATGATGATGGTACGGCTGAAGATGATGATGATCAAAATTCCTTGCTCTAATTTCCACCCATCACTCTCGCATGACGCGGCACATTGATGGACTCGGACTCGAGAGCAAAAAAACAACATATATGGCATGTGCATGATGCGGCACGATTCCAGTTTCGCTAATATACTTATTTTTGGTTTTCAGACTGCTTCAAAATTCAAAAAGCCTACCCACGGCTTCTGAGGGCTTCCCAACACCAAGAATAATGTTTCTTGTATCTAAATAATAGATACATATACATATTTTTATTAATATTCAGAGTTTCAATTACATGAACTTCCCTGTTCAGCTTGAAAGCTCCCATTTTCTCAACAGAACACTCGTCTGTACTCCCCTACTCTGTCTATTCTGGTACTCTACGAGTCCAGAGTGTTCATTGTGTTCAGCCATCCTCTCAAATTTCATTGAATTTTCTTTGAAAATGCCACAACACTTTCCTGCTCAAGTGATTCATGCACTCCTCATGTCAATTGGTCGAGAGCTCACCTTAACGCCCGAGCTGGGAGCGAGCTCTCTCGGGTTTACTTGGAAATCGGAGATGATATTTACACGACTCTTGATTTATGCACCGCTTGCAGGTCGTACGGGAATTGATATGAACATTTCTGAATTTGAGTTGATTTCATTTGATACCGAAATTTATTAACATTTTCGTTGAGGTGTCAGCACAATGGAGGGCGCGGTACGCGCTCTCTGGGGGTTTTTATCCGCAGTTCCAGGAAGTCACGCCATAACACGACAATCACAATTCGAAATCTTTCAATAGAGAGGAAAACTTTTCCAAACGAGATCTTTTCGTCTTGATTTCAATCCCCCCTTTGGGGCATTCAAAAATTCTGTTTCTTTTTTTCGATGTGGTTTAAGTTACATTTGTACATAAATTGTACAAATGGGGGGACTAAGGGGGGACACCAAGAATCAAGTTTCTCTAATAGTTTATGGATATCGAACATACATCTATATATGTATGTATATTCAAAACATAATTTTTGTTCAACTCCAAAACATGAGCTTCGCATCATAAAGCTATATCTATTAGGAGTTTTCGTTATGATTTTTTTAAAACATTTTTTTGTGTGTTTTCTTTGTGGGATGTACTAGAAATTCCATTTACTCTGACTTTTCTTTAGTTTTGTGTTCCTTGTGTTGCATCTGGCATGCAGCCGTTTCCCCTCGCATATGTTGTTCCTGCTTTTACTCCCATTTCAACTCTTTCATTGTTTCCCCTCACGTTCTGCTGCTGTGCTCCTTCCACCTTTGTACCCAGGTATGTACGCTCTAACTCTGCTCCTCTGCTCCTTCCAGCTTCTCTTTCAGAACATTTATTCAACAGTTCCAACTGTCACTCTTGCTCTCCTCTCTCTAAAAGAAATCCCTCTCTGTCGCTCTCGAAAAAGCTTGGCTTTTGTCTCTCCCCTTTCTCTTTCTATGCCGATTCAAATTCAATCCCCGATCGCTGCCGATCTCTATTAGCAGCACTATGACACTGGCCGACCACCCGGATGACATCTTTTGAGCGGCGGCTACCTGAGCAGCAGCGGCAGCGGCAACAGAAGCAGCAGCAGCGACAACAACGACAAAAACGACAACAACGACAAACGACAGAGCGACAGGGCGATGTCAACCCAAAGATAAAGAAAGGCACAGCAAGAGCGGGGCAGGGCATAAAAAATTACGTCGCTTTACCTTTCGGAGCCGAATAACCATTGTCATCATCATCGATGTCTAACCTTGAAGGCCCTACCCCTACCCCTGCCTCTCCCCTGCCCCCTGGCCAATGCGGCTGCTGCTGCTCAGTTGAGCATACAACTGTCCATCAAATGTTTCGGCTTTGGCTTGGATCGGATCGGATCGGTGTCTTATCTCCCCGGCCCAAAAAGTCTGATCCGAGTTTGAGTTTCGAGGCTCTCTCGGTGTCTGTCGTCTGCGACTTACCTGCTGATAGCAGCTTTGACGGCATCTGCTCAATTGCTTGCTGGTGCTGCTCCCAGGCCCCGTCGCAAACGGCATTGATGGCGATGCGGATGGGGAGGGAGAGGGAGATGATGATGATGATGATGATGAGGATGAGGATGGGGATGAGGATGAGCTCAGTTCTGTGGCTGTTCCCGTTCCATCTGCAGTCGATCCTCCATCCTTGTGGGCGAGACTGAGGGCGGCAAGTGCGCAGCAGGCGAGCATCAGAGCAAGTGAATTGAACATGTTTGTTCTTGTTGTTCCAATTGTTGTTGTTGTTGTTGTTGTTGTTGCTCTCTCCCACTCTCACTTTGTTGGCTCCTTTTTTTGCTTGCTTGCTTGCTCTTCTCTCCTTCCTCCCACCACCGCCACTCCAATCAATGGGTGTGGACGTGTGGGCGTTGACTCGTGTGTGAGCGGTCGTGAGTGTGAGTTTGTGTTTGGGTTCGTGTGCGTGTGCGTGTGTGTATAGGTATGTTTTGGGCTGAGTGGGCGTGGAGCAATCTGTTCAATCAGATTGATTAATTGATTGATTTTGTTTGTTTATTTTTGGTATCAAGAGGAGACATAATCGTCCCGTGCTTTTGGATGCATTTAGTGGAGCAGAGCAGTTCCCCTCAATGTACGCCTCTGCTTTCGCTCTCACACTCTCGTTCTCTCACTCCTTCCTCGTATTACCGTTTATTTGCCTTGGCGATTGTCACACAGCAACAACGAGAGTATGTTTGTGGAATGGGGGGGTGGGGGGGACAACAACAACTACTTGAGGCTGTAACTGTAACTGTAAACGTAAGTGTAACTGTAACTCCACATGCGGCGGAGAGCAAAACAACACACGACCCACGAGTATGGGATGATACACAGAGAAACAGCGCGACACCAACGAAAATTGCCTCGTTACTGTTACGTTTTTTTTTTTTTTTTTGTTACTGTTACTGTTGCTGTTGCCTTTGGTTTTTGGTTCGGCTTTGGTTTTGAGGCTGGGATTTGTTTTGGGGCGTGGAGACGTTGCGGCCTAATGGCGGGCCGGGCGGTCCGGGTCGGTCGTGCAGAGGTTTGGTTTGTTTGACTTTGTTATTTGAGCACCTTCCTTCCTTCCTTCTCCGTTTTTTCCTTTTTGGCTGCTGCTCTGCTTTTGCTCCTGTTTCTGTTCTCAGGTAAGTTGGCACCGCATAAAACACAATAACTCACACGCAGACACGTGAAAAAATAGACAACTTCAACAAGAACAACATAGCACGGTCACACTTCAATAAATAACAACTATAACAAACAGCAAAAAAGACGTCGTCGTTGAACACGAGAGACCAAAAACTGTCTTTCTCTAAAAAAAAATGTGCGCTGCGCTAGGATGAAGCAGTCGTCGTTCGCGCGGGAGTCGAACAACCGTCGTCGTTGAGTGTAAAATGAAAACAACGATAGAGCGGGCGCAAGGTCGAAAGCAGAACTGAACGGCGGGGCGGCTGCGAGATAACACAGAAACGGGAAACCAGAGCTAGCGACAGTGCTGGCCAAATGGCTATAGCTAAAACCAATGGTACATATTGAGCAAGGACATCCTCTTAAGTACTCAATGAAAATCCCTGCTGGTCTTGTAAGTGTTTCTTGCATCTTATCCATCTGCTTCATCAAGCCATAGATAAATTGAACTATAAAATATTATTTAGTGGCCATAAATCTTTTTTAGCTACAAAACATTTCTGCTACATTTGCTTACTTTTATTTACTTTTATCCATTTTTGATTAAAAAACCTTCCATTTCCTTAATATCTAATTTAATACCCTAACACATTTTGTTTATTGAGCTATTTTAAAGCTATTTGTCAGCAAGTCCGCCAGCCAAATCCTACTCGAACATCTCTCACACAGCACACCGTTGCTTGTCTCATCCAAAAGTAGTGTCAAACTCGAACATGCTCGAAGCGAACTGAACAGTTGGATGCCCTGCAGTGTTTTCCACTTAGCCTCATTGGATCTAAGCTACATATGTATGATACAATGTTCAGAGTCTACCGACCACAATACCAAAAACATGAGTATTAAGAGTGCTACTATATGATCTTTTAATGGAATCAGTTGGACGGCACTGGTTCGCCAGGTTGTTGAATTAGTGCTTCAGGTGTCTGCAGAAAGTTTTTGTGCTCATCTTCCAAGTTTTTTTCTAGAAAAACCCTTTGTGCTCTCATTTTCTCCTTCAGCTAATATCATTTTATTGTGAATTGGGAGGACATCTGTGTTATCCACATAATCAATAATGTGAGAATTCATACTAAAATTTGGCAAACTGTTCATGAATTCTCTTAACATCCGGAACCTGGCTACATCGTTTTTTCCATGTCTTCAATCTATTATTGTTTGTTTTGGTCGTATTGTTTTTTTCCTTGCTCTGGCTTGTCGTCAGATCGTTCAACACTGATGCAACCAGAAGGTTCGGAGCTCGAAGACAGGAGTTCGAAGTTGGAAGTTCGATGTTGCGGAGTCTGCGAATCGCGCCGGGCTGGTACATATGCTAGTCGGTTGGATGTGTTGCTGGTTGCTTGGTTCGAGGGGTTAAGGTTGCAATCAGTTGGGTAGGGGTAGCTGAGCTCCGTCTCTTTGATGATAATGGGGTGGCAAACGGGAAAACGGGCAATGGCAGCAAGGCACCAAGCAGGCTTTGGCTTTGACTTCGTATTTGCTGCTCTCGTCATGTTGCTACTGCTGCTGCCACTGCCTCTGCCTCTGCCTCTCCTGCCGCTCCTGCTGCTGGTGGTTGGTGCGAGGCAGGCATGCAGATGAATCAAAGCGGGCCGCTGATTATAGCAACAATATGGAAATGCTGCTCCCTCTCCTGCCTCCTGCCTCTTGCCATTCCTCTTCTGTGTCCAGGCCCCTTTCGACTTTCCCTTCACCTCCACCCCTTTCCCTCTTACATAGGGGCATTGTTTATTTATATGCCAAGCATGTGTGTGTGTATGAGTATGTGGTGTGTGTGTTCCACATTGTATGGATGTGTGTGTGTGTGCCTTTTTATAACCTCCATTTTGCCAAAGTATAGTAAATTCTTTCAAAGCGTGTACTACATTTATTATTTAAGCCATGCTGCTGCTGGGGGCACCGCACCCCACAGCCGCCTGTCCCCATGAACACTGGACTGTGCCCGTACCCCTACCCCCCTATGCGCATTGTTTCAGTCGTCCCTGTCTCTATGTCCCTTTTCCTATGTCTGTTTTACCGTATTAGCCGCTGCCGCTGCCTCAATGCATAAAGATTCCCCCCTCCCCAACACCACCCTCCACCCGACATTCCCTCATACTCATACTATGTGAATCTCCACCATTCGGGAAGGTTTATTTGCATATTTTGACTTTTATGCGGCAAAAATATTACAGACTGCGCTGCCAGCGAACAATATCCCGAACGCCATACACCATACACCATGCACCCTACCCCCTACCCCCTACCCCTCTCCCCATCACCCATCAAAACGTTAATAAAGCTAGAGAAGAGGAAGAGAGTGCTAGAGGGGTGTGGTGGCACCGCTACAGCCGGAGAGAATCGCAAAAAAGTGGTGGGGGGGAAGGGGGAACATTTTTTCTCATTTAGCGTCCGTGTCTGAAAAGTTTGAATTTTTCGGGGCTTGGTTTATAACTCCATTGCAACATGTTGCATGTTTGAAATTGCCAAAAAAAAAACCCACACACTCACAAACAAAATATGAAAAGAAATGCGAACAAACAACAACAAAAGCAAGAAAAATAAAACGAAAACTCAAAAAGAAAAAATAGACAACTAACGGACAAGGTGGCTTGGTGCAAGGTGCCATAAACTCAAGGTTGGGCATGGCTAGAGGGCAGCCTGTGTGCGGTAGGGGAATTGCCTAACCTTCCATTTGATGTACCCTGAAGTAGGGACATGGTATCCGGGGACAAGGTGTATTTACACAAGGTGTAGAGCCATCCATGCCCATTCTCCCATTCTCGTATACAAAATAGCCAACTACCGTAAGAGAGCTCTCGGGAAATGGCTCCACACCTTTATGCAAATACACCATGGCTACGAAATTTATGCGCCCATGGCGAGCCATTTGCCAGTGCTCCAACTTTTTTCTGAACAAGTCTCGTTTGCCTATTCCCCCCTCCTGGCCCACATGCCATCATGCCACAGCGCCCCTACAGCCCGCAGCCCGCAGCCCATGCCCCTGCTCGCAGAGCCCAAAAGCCCTTTTCCATTTCATTCCGCTGCTCTTTGAATTTCCATTTTCATTTTGCGGCTGCCGCAATTGACTTTGTCGTTTGCGTGTGGCCGCCATCCAATAAATAAACGGGATGCAAAAGAGAGCGGCCGGAAAGGTGGGAAGGGGAGGGAGACAGAGAGCGGGAGCAAAAAACCAATTCGGAAGTAAGCCGAACATAACGGTGAACCCAAACCCAAACGATCGTGCGAGCGAGAGAGAGAGAGCTCTGGCCCCGTGCACTTGCTTCTTCTCAAAGGGAGAGAGTGAGAGAGAGCAGGGCAGTCCAAAATGAACATAAGGGAAGTGACGCAGAAAACTTAGCTCAAGGCCTCCCCATCTTCAATAGGAACCATTTCATTTCACATTTCTAATGAGCTTCTTCCGCACTTTGATATATGTACATTTTTCTCAGTGTACCGCAAAAAGGGCACCCAAGGGAAGAGCAAGCTGCACATAATAGCAGAAGTTCCTCATTGGATCTAAACTACATACATTGTATATTAAAATACCACAATACCAATAACATCAGTATTAAAAGTGCTACTATATGATCTCTTAATGGAATCAGGGTTCGCCAAGCTGTTGAACTGGTGCTTTAGATTTCTGCAGAAATTTCCTGTAAGTACTTGAGTTCATCGTCCAAGTTTTTGTTCTACAAGTTGATGATATAGACTAAAAGGACCCTTGGTGCTCCCATTTTCCACATAATAATGTGAAGATTCATACCGCGATCTGAGATATCGTTCTAGCTTGAGGAATTTGGCTACATCGTCTTTTCCGGAGTTTCCTCTGAGGTCGTCGCTGCTAAAGCCGTTTCGGAGTCGCGCTACTAATGCTCGCCAGTGCCTCGTCCTGCCAGTAGCCGAGCACTCAAAACCAATGGTTAGGCGTAACATCCATCATCACCAAACTTCTAGACTACGCTGCGAGGTCCGAAACACTAAAGTACATCCAGGTACGACTGGGATCTACCTCCTCCTAGCTACTCTGACCATTGAAATGTATGGGCGTTACTCATCTTACCATTTATCTTGACTTTGAATGACCACTGAGCTTATTATCAATAAAAATAGCTCACAAAAACACTATTTCGATCTAGTTCAAACTGCAAATGAGAGCTGGAAGAACTGTTTCCAATAATGGGAAGCTCTTAAGATGCGGGAAAAGGTTCAGAAACGGTTCGAGCCACACTTTTACTACTACATTTTACTACGTGAAAAAACGTTTTGTTACCCAAGTTTATTTTTGGCAGTGTAAGAGCAAGCCCTGTAATTTGCCGCATTGCACTCCTGCTTTAGTTTCAACTTGAGTTCAGTTTTGATTTACGCACTGCGTAACGCACTTTTGAAATCATGACCAAACTGGGGGAAAAACTTTACCGTGCGACCCATCATCGGTGGCTCGCCAGCAGAGAGTACCCCCCGACCGCGAACCCACTCCACTCCACTCCATTCCCCTACCCTGGCCATTGCCCATTTCGTAGTGGAAAGTCCAGCAGCAGCAGAAGCAGCTGGTGGGCAATGGGTGCTTCCGGCGCAGCATTACGGCTGAGCAGAGCGGAGCAGAGCAAAGCAAAGCAGAGAGCGGTATGAAAAGGGGAGATATGTAAGTAGAAATGAAAATGAAGCACAATGAGCACATCCGGCCAAAGCTGCGGAGGATGGAGGATGGTGGAGGATGGTGGATGGAGGATGGCTGGGATGGGGGGGAGGTTCGTTCGTTAGCAATATCCATAGCCAGGGATATTGCTAGGGATAGTGATAGGAATCGCGGTATCGGGATAGGGGTAAGGCTACTGTGGGGTGGATGCCCTAACCGAACCTCTAGATCCGCGTCAGACCGTCAGTCAGTCACTCGCCCGCCCCCCTCCGCTTCATTTCCTCCATTGCCCAACCCCCTGCCCTATCATCGGTTTCCATTGCAACAGCCGAGAGCCCATTAAGAAATTTCAAATTCTTGAAAAATTAGCAACCCAAAAAAAGAGTAGAACAAAAGCGGAGAGCAGGGATAGGGTGAAGGAAGAGAGAGAAACAAGGCAAACAACTCCACTTCTTGAGAATAATTAATGGAATTTTTGAACTTTTAGTGCAAATGCCTCGGAGACAACTGCTTAAACAGCATTTTCATTGATGCTTCTGCAGCATCAGGGCACCACCGGGGTACCCCTACTCCTCGTTTTCCTTGAGACTCTGGTCTGGTCTGGCCTGGCCTGGTCTGGTCTGGTCTGGTCTGGTGTGTTTTCTGCCACTGTTGCAAGTAGCATGCATGCGCCACAAATAAATTTGTCGTCGACTCAAGCAGATTGTTGCAATTGCTGTCGGAGTTGGTGTCGTGTCCCCCCAGTCGCCGTCGCCCCATTCAACGTGAATGAAAATAGAGCAATTTACATTATTCGCATTCGAGCAGATTTCGCTTTAATGAATTGCACACAACTTGCCAAGAAATATTTCGAGCAAACAAACCAGAGACAAAAAAACCGCACAAAAAAACCTGAAGCTATAGTGTTTTATATGACTACTCCCGACTATGGGATACCTTTTGAGGTGCTTACCTTCTTTAATACAGCTCCTACAGCCCCCAAATTACAAAAAAAGAAAAACGTGTCCATCGCTGAACTGAAACAAATTAAATCTAGATGAATTCCAGAAACAGTTGGTACCTCTAGCTCTAATATTCTCAGAGATCCTTACGGCTCTACTTCGACTGTGGATCCTGAAATGCCATGCGACCTATATGACCTATTCAACACTGTTTTATCTATGCTCACATCTTGTCGATTACCAGATCTAAGACCATTATGATATGTCCATCTATCCAGAAGAGTGACTTTATCTTCGGACAAGTGCCCTGTATACCCCGTAGAGTTCCCTCATTCTAGAGGTCCTGCTAATTATTGCCGAAGAAACTACAGAGCATACCAGTCTCATTGTCAAGCTCCTGCTACGATACGTATTAATGGCTGCTGCATCTGTCTGCAGGAACACAATATACCCTTGTTGTATGCCACTCGAGGTGGCGGGCCATAAAAAGATGAACACAAAATATAGAATAGTAAATGAGATACGTCTGCATTTGTCTGACTTGGCACTTTGTCTAAAACACATTATATGCCGACCAAGAACACAACCGAAATGAACCCCTCTGGCCATTCAAATCTCTCTCTGATGTGATGTGATATTTGGGCACCGCACCGGCTGGCTGAACCACGCGACCCGGGAAACAGCAGTACCAGGAATTCCGAATCGCGATGGGGCAGTGGCAAGGGGGTATCGCTGGTGGTGGTGTCGCCCCATTCTGTCTGTCGTTTCGAGTCTGATTCAGTAATCGGAATTCGCTCATCTTCATCATTACGGGAGACGCCATTCCCCCTTCCCTGCCCTAGCCCACCCTTTCCTTCACAACTGTTTTCCCAAGGGCTCTTCAAAGTTAATGCAGAATATCATTTGCATTCATGTTGCAGGAGCAGCAGCAGCAGCAGCAGCAGCAGCAGCAGAGATCGCAAAATGAAAACCTCAACAGCTGTGCTGGATTCGCAATATTTCGATGTCAGAAATGAAAAAAAAAGGAAAAAAACAACGAATACAGAGGAGAAATATGAGAAAACGAGCCATAACTCATGTCACCATGTTCATTAAATGTGCGACCGTTTGTCCAGTTACTGCCACTCAGCCTACTGCCTACTGCCACTGCCATTGCGACTGCCTACTGCCTACTGCCACTGCTACTCCACTCCTGTCAGATGCACCAGCTTCGGGCATCATGGTTTTGGGTGGCTAGGTCGGGGGGAGACAGGGCGGCTTTACAGTATTTTATTGTCTATGTGCGCATATGGTCAGCTCATTGTGAAGTCGCTTGTATTGCCATTACCATTATCGCCATGCCCATCGTCAGCATCATCGTGTAGCGATTAATGCGGCTCTTCATCCAGTTACAGATACGTGTTACATCTATCACAAAGGACACGTCGAAATGGCAGAGGGGGTGGCTCAGGCAAGTCTGGCTGGCTGGTGGGGGGGGGGGGGGGGGGGGGGGGGGGGGGGGGGTGGGTTGGTGGTTGCGGCACAAATTGTTTTGGGAATGCGTTCCGTTTGTTGACATTTGTCCTCGGTGGCAGGCTGGCTGGGTGACTGCACATGTGGTCGGCCTCGAGGGGCCCCCGTGATATTAATGCCATTGCCCGACACAACAACAACAAAAAAAAAAGCCAGGGATTGATTTAAGCCAGCGAGTGAGTGCATTAAAAACACATTTAACACTTGGCTTGTGTTGAGCCGCTATAAAACACATCATTTCGAACAGCCACCAGCACATCAGAACAATTTACAGCCAGCTTTTATGCATTTCGAGTGGTGTTCCATCGGACAAAACAACAAAAACTTAAACAAGGGCTTACATTTTTCTAAAATTCAAATTTTTCGCGGTCTTTAGCTGTTTGCCAACACTACAGCACTAATCAGATATTTATCAACACTCGGCTTATCCAGTCGATAGTATCGATAGCCCTTTTCTGTTCGCCTGGTACCAGAAAATCAGCAAATCGAAAAATCTCGGCTCTGAGTGCTACAAATTTGAAAGTGGTTGTTGAAATATCCTTATCAAGCACTAAGAAGCAACGATATTCCCCTGTGATTGGAAATCTAGTAGTAGTGGAGATCAATCTAGAGTCTAGTAGTTGGCGTAGCCCCTCCCTCGGTGGCCCCTCTAATTAACTCAATAATAATGACATTAGACTTTGCTCAATTAGCTGCGATACGCAAAATGAAAGAAACTATTTAATTTATTTACCAACTTATCTTCATATATCTTATCATAGGAATTAAAAATAACGGGAAACTAGGCAGAGCGGAACTGACGCTCTCAAGGTCGCTGATAGACGGCCTCGTCGTGCTCGGCGATCAGCTGCTTGTGATCGAAGGCATGCTCATCCTGGCGCACATTCCATCCGAGACAGCGACGCACCCCATAGAAGACAATGACGAGAACCAGGGAGAGTAGTGATGCCGTAATAGGCACCACCAGGATGAGATCCAGCTGCGGCTGCTCCAGCTGACTGGCCTGCAGTAGGACAATGGGCATGGTCATGTTCAGCACACTGGTTTCGATGGCCAGGGTCAGGGCATCGGTGGCCGAGCGGCAGAGCAGCTTGGACAGCAAGTAGGTGGCCAGATAGCCGGCAAGGGGCAGGCACAGAGCTGCCACCAGCACCTGCAAAAGAGGGAATGAAGCCCCAACTCACGAGACACTTGCATTGCAGACCACTTACCTGCCAGGTGAACTCGGCAAAGACGAACCAATTGAGCCCCACCGTCAGCCCCACCAGACACAGACTGAGCAACACCGACAGCGGCTTAAGGAAGCGGAAGATAAACCGCGTCGTCTTCGGCACGCACAGGCGCAGCAGAAGGCCAACGGCCAGGCAGGCGACCAGAGCCGCCGCGCCGCCCGATAGCTGGCCAAAGGGCACCGTCAGCTCATCATCGTCGTAGACGAGGCGGCCCAGGACCATGATCCACAGCGGCATAAATGCTATCGCTAGCAGGCTGTTGATGGTGGTGGTGGCAATCGACAGGTTGATGTTCCCCTTGAGGAACACGGCGCACACATTGGCCAGGCCGCCGCTGGGAGCCAGAGCCGTGTAAAATAGCGCCAGCTGGAGGGGCTGCTGACCAGGCCAGAGGGCACGGCCGAGGCCAAAGCCCAGGGCTGGCATTACCACGAACCGACTGACGATGCCCACCACAGGACCCACGGGCCGGCACACGATGTCCTGCAGGCGCTGCAGATCCAGCACGGTGCCCAGATTGAGAAACATCAGCAAAGCCAGCGCCGCCGATACATATGTGGTTATCCGCTCATCGATCACGCGTTCCCGCAACACCGCTATGGACAGTGGCTGAGGGAACGCCTCGATTGCGCCACCATCGGAGTGCAGTTCCACCAGCAGGTCGCTGTAGCCGAAGCGTTTGCCCGTCACGTCCACCGTCCCCAGCCAACTGCCGCTGGCATCAAATTCCTGGCCGGGCACTGTCTTGTTCGCCATGGCCCTCCGATCGTCCCTCGAGCGTACCACAAAACGGTAGTCCAAGGTGGCATCCTGGGGATGGACATCATAAATGTGTAGCTGAAGCTGCTCGCTTTCATCACTGAGAAGACGGAGCTCGGCCTGGCCGTAATCTACCAGCCAATTGCCGGCCAAGTCCCCGTATTTGCCCTGAGCCCCGCCGATTCCAAGCAGGAGCAATGCCAGGAGCTGCAGTCTAGTGTTCGACATGTTGTCCAGGCTGCGTCGCTTTTCCAACTGATATGGGCCACAACAAAGGCAACATCGTCAGTCGACAGTCGTCTGTCCGTCGCACATAGGCGTTATCGGGCCGCAGACCCGTAGACTAAGCCCAAACTCTTATCAGGAAGCGGGGTTGTTGCCTCTTGACAGGTGCATTCCAGCTACGATCCAAAAGGGGGCACCAAAAAAACTATTTCCATCATTCAGTTTTGAAACTTGTGATCTTTACAGGAGGAACCTCCACTAGGTGACCTTTTACAGATAAAGGGATACCACACCGAAAGAGATTATTTTTATTATTTCATAGGATACTAGACCGCCCCTGAGGGCGGTACCTAATGTACAAGTTTTAAGGATCGGACTCCGAAACCCCCATGATGTTAAAGGGATTCAAGCATTTTTGGATGATGATATGTGAGATGCCCAAAAACAGTATAACATCCTATGAATTCTGGGACACTCGTAGACTAAAGTAATTATGAAATTCCTTTTAATTACCAGAGATTAATAGAAACACCCACAAAGCTACGAGTATAAAATCAAACAAAGAGAAAACGGCAGGCCTCCGTCAACGCCCATCGAAAGTCAATTCCCTCTCTAATAATCTCAATGGTTATTCTTTTTGTTCGAGTGCATTGTTTAGTTCGATTTTGTACGAGTTCGTGGGCATATAGAAAATATAGAACGTTTCTTTATTTCTTACTGTTGATGAACATTAAACAATTGAAACTGGAAATGCCGCTACTGATTACGGCCGTAGAACCGTATACTGTCAAAATTTCCCCACTCCCGTTGCGTTTTTCCTGAATCACTGGCCATAAATTGGGACTTATGGGTGTCATTAAACCATTCAGATTTCAATTTCTTGCTTTTATTGTTGTGATTGACGTTTGTTTAGTTGGTGAGAAAAACACCACCATTTTTTATATTTAGTGTTAGACTACAGTATACATCATAAATATGTAATTCATATTGATTCATTCGTCATTGACCATATGCGAGTACCCGTGAAATGGGTGCAATGAAAATGCAACACTCTTTGGGCTTCGCCGCTCTTATCTCTGACTTTTCTCTGATACTACTATAGCTGATATATATTGTATTTAATTTTGGATTCTTGCGTCTGGGTGTCTGGCATTTCTCTCAATCATTCATTGTTTAGTTATAGATAACCCAAATATGCTCAAAATCGTATTATGGTACGGGCCACAAGAAAACCAATCAATACATACGCGTGCTACTACATTTATTTTATAATTTTGTAATGGGGTCTCTTAATAAACTGTTTATGCCTTTTTTTTTTGTTCTCCTCCTTCTACTTGACGCAATTTGGAAACGCTGCAAGTGTATTTCTGTAAGGCGTAATTTAAGTACCTAAATCAAGTACAAAGGCCAAGTACTCAGTCAGTATATAAGTGAGCTTATTTATGTAACTTAAGCAATATATTTGATATGTCGTTTGGTTTGGGACGATTTGAGAATTTGAAAAAAAATTCATAAAAATCTGTCCGACCGTTTAATAGATTTCTATATGTATTCGATATCTGTTTCCATGCACACATACCCTGGGGAAATGGATGATATAGAATTGCGGAAATGTGTGTCATTCCAGGCTCTAATTAATGCAGAAACTAGATAGTCTCTGTTTTAAACGATATTTTGTTAGCTCATCGTCTGTCTACAGAGACAAAGAACTGGTACTGGGATCAGGATTTATATACAAACACCTAATCAAATGCATGAATAGACCAAAAAAATGCAATCTAAAACAAGGCCTTTATTAATTACATTTTAAAGCAGCTTTGAAAACAGTATCTTTATATAATATTCACGAAATAGGGTATACAAACGCCCATACCCTGGTTGACAACAAATGAGTCTGCAAATACCAGCAACATTGACGTCACAACCTGCGACTATTGAACATTTTTGTTGAAATCGTGTTTTTGTCAAAACAAAAAACATGCGAGTACTTAAAAATAGTTAATCTTGATCAAAATTGTTTCAGCAATCATATAAAATTATCTGGGCAGAAATAAGAGATCTATATATCTGGGAATATTCGACGGAAGAATGATTAACCAAGAATTAGTCGTCATAACCGGTTCAGAACAATGAGTCCCATTCCATGCACACATACCCTGGGGGAAATGAATGTTATAGAATTGTGAATACGTTTGTCTTCCAAGGCTCAGTAGGTATCAGGATCGACATAAATATATATAAGGTACTTGAATATGTCTAAAGAATATCAATTTGAGAAAAGGTCTTAATAAATTACGTTTGATCTTCATACAAAATTAGCGAAATAGGGTGTAAAAATGCCTATACACGCATAATGGCTTTAAATACCAACAACATTGCGACTGTTTTTTTTTGTGGAACTACTTTGTTATTGCCTTGTTTTAGCCAAATACAATCAAAGCAAGGACTAAAAACTATCCAATCTTGTAGAAAATTTATTCATCAATCGTATAAAATTATGTGGGCATGGCTTAATGTTCCATATAGCTAGTAATATTCAACGAAAGATAAAAAACGAGGAATATGTAAAAGATAACTTGAATTCGTCAGTATATTTTCGGTATTTTTCGGTATATTTCGGAGAGTCAGACCGTATATCTCCTCCGCGGTCACACTCAACCAAGTTTTTTCACGTGTGCCAAGCGAGCCAATTTTTGCCCAAACAAACAATTTTTGACAAAACACAGAGGCCAAGCCAGCTAATTTTCAGTTTCCAGACCGGTCAGAGGTAAGGCGGAAAGTCTAACCAAAATAAAAAACAACATTGAAAACACAAACCGCGAACCACAGGGATGCAGTGTTTAAAAGCAAGAAGAAGAGGCACGTGCAGCAGCAGCAAAACGCGAAAATTGAGACAAAAAATGAAAAGAATACGCGTGCCGTGCGAGGGTTGAAAAAGTGCAACTGAAATATCTCTGTACATCCAGCATCCATATATTACAGCAAGATGGTGCCCATTGGACCCGTTCATCCCAACCATCCCGGCGTTGTGCATCCCCCACAACAGCCGATGCCGACAGCGCCCACCGGGCCCAATTCTCTTCAGCCCAATGCCAATGTCTCGGGATCCTCGAACTCCACCTCGAACAAGAGCTCTATGTCGGTGAAGCCGAACTATACGTTGAAGTTTACTCTTGCCGGCCACACCAAGGCGGTCTCTGCGGTCAAGTTCAGCCCAAACGGCGAATGGCTGGCCAGCTCATGTGAGTACTAAGCGTGTGTTTTTTTAAGATAGTTTTTTGGCTAAAATTATGGCTTTCCAACGCAGCTGCTGATAAACTGATTAAAATCTGGGGAGCGTACGATGGAAAATTTGAGAAGACTATCTCCGGGCATAAGTTGGGCATCAGCGATGTCGCCTGGAGCTCGGACTCGCGTCTACTGGTCAGCGGCAGCGACGATAAGACGCTCAAGATTTGGGAGCTGAGCACTGGCAAGAGCCTCAAGACGCTCAAGGGGCACAGCAACTATGTGTTCTGCTGCAACTTTAATCCGCAGTCGAACCTGATTGTCTCTGGCAGCTTTGATGAGAGCGTACGCATTTGGGATGTCCGTACTGGCAAGTGCCTGAAGACATTGCCCGCCCATTCTGATCCCGTGTCGGCGGTGCACTTCAATCGCGATGGGTCACTGATTGTCAGCTCCAGCTACGACGGACTGTGCCGCATCTGGGACACGGCCAGCGGACAGTGTCTGAAGACGCTAATCGACGACGACAATCCGCCCGTCAGCTTTGTCAAATTCTCGCCAAACGGCAAGTACATCCTGGCGGCCACTCTGGACAACACTCTCAAGCTGTGGGATTACTCCAAGGGCAAGTGTCTCAAGACCTACACGGGTCACAAGAACGAGAAGTACTGCATATTTGCAAATTTCTCTGTCACCGGCGGCAAGGTGAGTAACCAGTGGCTTGGCTATATTTTTGATTGGTTTTCCCAAGACGAGCGACCGCTTTTGTTTTATCCCTCCCCCCTGTAGTGGATTGTCAGCGGCAGCGAGGACAATATGGTCTATATATGGAATCTGCAAAGCAAGGAGGTGGTGCAAAAGCTGCAGGGGCACACCGATACTGTACTCTGCACTGCCTGCCATCCCACCGAGAATATCATCGCCTCCGCTGCGCTCGAGAACGACAAGACCATAAAACTGTGGAAATCAGATACATAGAGGACGTGGCGGCTATCGCTGGTATCCAGCAAATGCAGTGGCCCCCCCTCACCGACTCCCACACATAAATTCGTAATCTTAATGTTCACAATATTTTTTTTTTGTAAGCGTAAAATCTTAATCGTCTACTCCCAAAATCACAATTTTTCAAAGTTTCGAGGTAGTTTCGAGGATTTATGTTGCGAAGTATGGTGATGTATGGTAAGAAGGGAAAGTTCAGGATAGTTATTCATTCTTAAGCTAAAAACTGTATGTATAGATATTTATTAGCCTATTTTATTGGCTACGACAGTAAGACAACAGGGGGTTTCGCCTTAAACACGATTGTAACATTTGCCGCATTAGCCCCAACAAAAAGTAACACACAAATTGATGATCTTTCGGTGTAGAAAGATAGCTAAATTTAAGCACTACCCCAAACATATACGTGCCGCCGGCAACCAGAAGAGCCTGGCGCACGGGAAAGAATACATATAAAATACGAAATGTACATTTTAACTGAAATAAAAACAGACGCGCGCAAAGCGGCGCTCGACTGTAAGTCCTGGAGCTCGAGCCCCATTCTGCGCGCGTCACTTATTTGTACATCTTCCAGTGGTATATTTATGGCGAGTCCAGCTCTGATTCAAGGTGGGGCGGTACATTTGTGGCAGGTCCAATATGATTTAATCGTATAGAACTTGAATTGCTATAATAGTCGGGGAATGTGCCTTGTTTTGAACTGTGCCAGCTGGCGCGCACGGAAACTCAACCCTGCAACTACCAGTATTACAAGTGGGTGTACTTTCAACAGGGCTGGCTGATTTCGGAAAAGTTCCGTGGCTATCGAACCAAAATATCGAAATTCTTCGAAACGGTTATTTACTCTTTTTGCTCTCTTGGCATCGGGTACTGGATCGGTAGCAACAATGAGGACCATTCCAGACCTTATACTTATGGAACTGAATATACACCATTTTTTCATGGTTCAAACATATCGCACATTAACGGAAACGGTTTTGGTAACTGACATTGAGATATGGTGTAATAAAACTACATCTTTGAGACCGGGGATGAGAATGTGATTTTATGCTTGGAGAAAGGTTAAAGGTTTGTTTTTCTGCAGAAAATTCGTTGAGATCTGTGCTTCCAGCCATACCTGGGATATGGGTAACGTAACCAATGCGGCAGAATTAATCACAAATCGCCCGCAAATGATAACGCCACCCACACATTGTGCTCCAATTGATACATCGGCATGTTTGCAAATCCACCATCGATAGTTCCACTGGCGCATATCGCTGCGGGCCATCGATGGTCCACCCACCACTAGCTGTTACGCGAACAAGAAAGAGCAATAGAAAAATTGATAAACTAATTTTTTTGTTTAACACTTACAACGACGGCCCGGCAGTGCGGTGTGCTCAGTGCGTGATAGACAGAGACAGCCAGCTTGATCCATACATAGTTATAGCTCGATCGCGTTAAGCCCCTTAGTCGAATTTTTTTAACCAGTTTTAGCGAAATCGTCTTGCCGAAAAATGTTGCGTACTCTGTCACGCGTTAGCGAACTCCCACTTATTGTTAAGCAATTGCAAAAAGTACGTAATCCTGTCACTAACCCCAGCGTTGTTATCACTAATCTCGAGCAAAAGCAAACACAACAAAAACAACAACAGCAGCAACAACAATACCAAAAACACACAACAAAGAAATGCATTAGCACAAGTGGCGGCAGCAACAGAAATCACTGGACAGTGCGGCTGCAACATCATAATCATCATCATCGACAGCGGCAGCAGCAGCAGCAACAACAGCAGCAGCAGCAACAGCAGCATCATCATCAACAGCTAAGCCTAAACATCTGTCGAGGTTATTCATCATCATTTTTCGGTCTATTCCAGAATGCAGCACAGGCTGGCGTGGCCAAAACCAACAACTATGCCACGGAGGCTACGGTGCAAGTGAATCGCGTAAGTGTTGGAGGATCGACGGAAATTAAATCACCAACGGATTACATAATGCGCTTTACTACCAGATAGCAAAAGTGTGTGTGTGTGTGTGCGTGTTCTGGTGTGTGTGAGTGCACAGGGTTGCATTGACATACACACAATGCTCTCACCGTTAACCGGCAATGCCTTCCGTCAATTTTCAAAATGATCAAGGTCACGACGCGCGCTGCTTTTTGCGTGGCCGCTGCGTGACCGAGACGGGGAGACGACACGCACCGCACAGCCAAGCACCATATCAGCATGATTCTGTCTCTTTCTATCCCTGATTGGATCTTGTGCTGTTTACACCTCCCTCTTATCAGGCCATCCCTTCACTCATACATTCGAATGTCCACCTACCCAGAAGGTGGCATCAATCATCCAAACACATAAGGGATTTCTATATACATATTTCTTATTCTAAGCCAAATTTTGTGTGCTATTAGAAATTTGTTCACGGTTTTTAAGATATCTATGGCACAAATATCGTCAGGATCTGAGTAGGTATTAATATTTTGCAGGAAGCATAAGAACGCTCGATAACTAATCGATAAATTAATCAGAATGCGGTTGGTTTTGCATAATAGTTAACTTTTTTGGAATTTTTGGTACTAAAATTATATTCAAAACATAGGTATTTATTATTTATTCTTCTTCTTATCTAATTATTCAAATTCTAGCAATATTGTATGTTGTGTAGTGTTTAACATAGCTCCTTAAAAGGTTGATATATGTACATCGCGAATCATGCTCGTGATTGATCATAGAAAAGTCTAAATTTGAGCTGAAGAAGTTCCTGATTTGGAAAATGCCTTAATGGGCCACTCCTTCCCTAGTTTTTTGAGTACTTTAAATGCAGAATATAAATTCTTTATCGGATAGCTTTGGTCTCCTACCAAATACCTTTTTCTTATTTTCCCCGAGAAAAAACATTCTTGACCGTTTCGCATTGGCATCTTTTTGCAGCCCTTCAAGCTGCATCGCTTGGACGAAGGACCGGCCACCGAAGTAAAACTGACCAAGGATGAGGCGCTCAAGTACTATACACAAATGCAGACGATCCGACGCATTGAGACGGCGGCCGGCAATCTCTACAAGGAGAAGATCATTCGTGGCTTCTGTCATCTGTATTCCGGACAGGAGGCCTGCGCTGTTGGCATGAAGGCGGCCATGCGGGATGTGGACAACATCATTTCCGCATACCGTGTCCATGGCTGGACATATCTGATGGGCGTCTCGCCCATCGGTGTTCTTGCCGAGCTGACTGGCGCCCAGAGTGGCTGTGCCCGCGGCAAGGGCGGCTCCATGCATATGTATGCCCCGAATTTCTTCGGCGGCAATGGCATCGTTGGCGCCCAAGTGCCACTCGGCACTGGCGTGGGTCTGGCCTGCAAGTACAAGGGCAACGGCGGCATGTGCCTGGCCCTCTACGGCGATGGTGCCGCCAATCAGGGTCAGGTGTTCGAGGCCTACAACATGGCTTATCTGTGGAAGTTGCCCGTGATCTTTGTCTGTGAGAACAACAACTATGGTGAGTAATACAGCATTCAGGTGCGATTCTCTGTGAAGGAGGATTCTGTAATCAATCGATACGGCTTTATTGGCAGGCATGGGCACCAGCTCGGAGCGTGCCTCTTGCAACACGGACTACTACACCCGCGGCGATGCCTTGCCCGGCATCTGGGTGGACGGCATGGATGTGCTGGCCGTGCGCAGTGCCACAGAGTTTGCCATCAACTACGTGAACACCGTCGGGCCCCTGGTCATGGAGACGAACACGTATCGGTACTCGGGCCATTCCATGTCTGATCCGGGCACCTCGTACCGTACCCGCGAGGAAATCCAGGAGGTGCGCCAAAAGCGTGATCCCATCACCTCCTTCAAGGAATTGTGCATTGAGCTGGGTCTCATCACCACCGACGAAGTCAAGGTGGGGTTTATAGGCGTGTCTCCGTGTGTGTTATCCTGGCTTAATGCGCTTTTCTTTTTAGGCGATCGATCTGAAGGTGCGCAAAGAAATCGATGAGGCCACTGCCTTTGCCAAGAGCGATGCCGAGCTGGCTGTCAGCCATCTCTGGACTGATGTGTCCTCAAATAATTTGGAGCCCAAGCTGCGCGGCACCAACAGCTTCAATCTGGATCACATCCAGGAGCGCAAGGGTGTCAATCACTAGATCTGCCGAAACCACCACCCTCCTCAAACGCTAACGCAAACGCAAACACACAAGACACATAACACTCACGAAATCTCTAGCTCTTAAGCCGAAAGATGGAATAGCCCCTGGCCTTTAGTAGAGGCTCCTTCAAGGAGTCTCCCCCCCACAACTTAGCGAATCGAAGCACATACCCACACACACAGAACCCCCAATACTCACCCTGGAAGATAGTTGGGGGAAAAACTGCATTGGATATTATTGGATGTATTGTGAACGTGTTCAATATGGATAAAGCGAGGTGTAAATTGTTGAAAATATACATATAAATATTAATTGATTAACTAAATGATCAATGAAAGGAGATGGCATACGCTTCTCTTGGTCGGTCTGTCTGATATTTTACGTGTGTTATATGACTTGTATATTGGTTTAGAAACCTTTAAATGTGTCTGTCTGTGTGTAGAACAAATTAGAGATCGTTTAGTTTCATAGTTTCATGATTTAAAGGCTTTCAAAATTGGCTTCTTAAGTGATGTATCTACTAAACAGACTATTTTATGTGAAGAAAATGTCGGTATCCAGGTATCTTAATGTCGAGGAACGTGTGCTTCGACACAGTTGAATTTGTTTATCACAAGAATCGCAAGAAAAGAAGCAATCGAAAGGCCATCTCCTTTGAAAATCTATTGAAATCTCTTATATATCTAAGTAGTGACTATTTTATAATCGTATTTGTAGCACTCTTTTCAACTCTTTCTTTTTCGGAGACTCTCTCTCTCTCTCTGTCTTTTTCTCTAACGGAAAGAAACTCGGTTTCCGTTTCAGTTTCTGTCTTTGCCTTTTTCCTTTGCTGTCATCGTTTTGGGAACGTAGTTTCGTTGTAGTTTCTTTTTGAACTAAATCTTCGATGTGTTTTTTTCAAAATTTTGCAAAATAATTATAAATTCCTATTCAGACGGGGGTCCTGTTCAGTATCCTCAGGGACCGGCGGTTGTCGGAGCGTAAGGTGGATCTGGGAGAATGCTCAAGAAAAACGGCGGCAGCTGCCTGCTTCGTTTGGGCGGTGTCCAGTCACCGCTGCGACAGCAGCTTCTCCACGTCTGGACGGGTGAGCCGCGCAGCTGGAGGAGACGAGGAGGAGCCTTGTCAATCTCGTCAGACGGCAGGCGGCACAAGTCGGAGGACTGCAATAGCGTGACCCTGGAGCATGTGAGTACCAGCGGTACCATGGTAATCCTACCATGAATTAAGAGTCTTTCCTATTTGTTTAAGTAGACCTTTAAGTGCTATGATTTGGAGTCGGGCCCCCCCATGGATGTGGAGCTGTCGCGCGATGATGCCCTGAAGATGTACAGCCAGATGCTGGAGGTGAGGCGCGTTGAGACCATGGCCTCCAACTACTACAAAGAGAAGAAAATCAGGGGCTTCTGTCATTTGTATATCGGCCAGGAGGCGGTGGCCGTGGGCATGCACGCCCGCATGCGCAAGCAGGACTCGATGATAACGGCCTACCGCTGTCATGCCTGGACCTACCTGATGGGCGTCTCCATCTATGAGATGATGGCCGAGCTGCTTGGCGTCCGTACTGGCTGCAGTCGAGGCAAGGGCGGCTCGATGCACATGTACAGCGAGCGGTACTACGGCGGCAATGGCATTGTGGGCGCTCAGGTGCCTGTGGGCGCTGGTGTGGCTCTGGCCCATCAATTCCGGCGCGATGGCGGTGTCTGCATCGTCTGCTATGGCGATGGTGCGGCCAATCAGGGCCAGGTATTCGAGGCCTACAACATTGCCAAGCTGTGGTGCTTGCCGTGCATCTTTGTGTGCGAGAACAACGACTATGCGATGGGCACGAAGGCGAATCGGGCCGCCGCCAACACCGATTTCTACATGCGGGGACAATACATACCCGGCCTCTGGGTGGACGGCAATCAGGTGTTGGCCGTTCGCAGTGCCACACAATTTGCCATAGAGTATGCATTGGCCCATGGCCCGATTGTTCTCGAGATGAACACCTACCGATATGTGGGCCACTCTATGTCCGATCCGGGCACCTCGTATCGGTCTCGGGATGAGGTCAAGCAGATGCGCGAGAAGCGGGATCCCATAACGAGTTTTCGCGGTCAGATCATTGCCCTGTGCCTGGCCACCGAAGAGGAGCTGAAGAAGATCGAGACGGAGACCAGGAAACGTGTGGACGACGACTGCAAGAAGGCGGCCAAGGACAAGGAGGTGGATCCGATCGAGCTGCATGCCGATGTCTATGCCAAGAACTTGGAGCCCAGGATACGGGACGTTCATGGCTACCATCTAGAGCATCATCGTATATCGGAGCTGTGTCTGGGCAAGCCAAAGGCGACGCCCCAAAGCGAAATGAAGAATGTGCCTGTGGGGGATGCGGCCATGGTGGCTGCTGCTGCCGAGGCCAAGAAGGCGGCCGACAAGGCCAGGGCGGAAAAGGCTAAGGCCGAGGGTAAGGAGGTACCAAAACCACCAGGAGAAGCACCACCAGCGGCAGCAGCGGGTGCTCCACCACCAGCGGGTGCTACAGCACCAGCTGCAGCTCCCCCAGCAGCAGCCCCACCACCGGCGGCTGCACCACCTGCAAAAGGAGCCGCACCACCTGCAAAAGCACCTCCACCACCTGCAAAAGGAGCCGCCCCACCTGCAAAAGGAGCACCTCCACCAGCTGCACCGCCGGCGAAAAAGTGAACGGAATGACCAACGATGCTTCCACCACGCTTTAGTCAAGACACGAACCAACTGAATTGAATAAAGCTATTTGTTTTGAGAGCGCACAGCTTTGGGTCCCAGGAGCTTTATCCCCCACAGACACCTGTACGATGTGAGCTTTTGCCGCCTCTTTCTCTCGCTGCTGCAGAGCAGAGCAGAGCACAGCGACGGCGCTGCTCGCACCATTTATCATTTGCCTAATTGATCGCTGCCTCCTCCGCTAATACTGATGCCGGGTGCCCACGCGCTGTGTAGTGTGCTCCCCCTCTCACACACGTACCCCTCTGGGAGGCACTCTCCCTTTCCTATTCCCTCTGCCGCCTTCACGCACCTGCCTGCCTGCCTGTCGCCATCGCAATCGTCGTCGCCGCCTGGCGGCATGCGATCTGTGTCTAACGGGGCTTTTCAGTCTCCTCGCGATGCTCTTCCGTTGATCTTCACGTGCGCTGGCGACGTCGTTTCCTTTCCTCTCGTTTCGCTTCTACTGCTCTCTCTTTCTGTTCTCTCTACGGGTGTGTGTGTGTTTTTTTTTTAATGAAAATTAAATATGAATAAAAAATTGAGATTTCAAAATGCAACTATACCTTAAAACAAGTTTTTGCTTGTAAAGAAATTACCTCTAAGACAAAAAACTACTGATTGATAAAACTGATATCAAAAAGATAAAAAACAAAAGAAATTTAGAAGAACAATTAAGAAACATTTTTTCCATACCAATAACTTACTCTTTCGACTCTTAAAATTAACATGATTATAGTAAACAACTTAAATAATATTACAAAAAAAAAAAATGTTAAAGACAATTTTGAAAAATCTGCATTATGATCAAAAACTATATTCAAGTAGATTTAATCGAAAAATATCAATACATTGCAATACAAAATAAATAAACATTTAATGCACTTAAATTAAATCAATTAAATTTTCCCAATACAATTCAAATAATATAAAAACGGATTTTGAATTTCAGACTTTTTTTTCGATTCAGATCAATGAACAGGTGGCAGCAATAACATCAATTAAATGTCCATTCATTAATACCTTTTCATTTCCCTGAATTTTTCAATTAGTTTTTCCAATATTTTTTATAACAAAATATTAATATATATATTTTTTTGTCTGCGAGTGACAAAGAATGCCCCATGGCGCGGCTGCCAAACAAGTTTAATTTGTTTTTTTTTTTCTGCCACATACTTGTGTGCCTCATGTGGGGCACATTTCTTCTACCACTTCTCCTCATTATTGTTGTGATATGTTTCGTTTTATTTTGTTTCGCTTAGAAATATTTGCGTTTGTTTCACGGAAAATAGTGAAAAATCGTGTGTTGACAAATTACTCGTACCATTTGCAAAACATATGTAGAGAAATAAAATATGGAAAATTTCAAATGAAATTGCAGCGAGGGCGTATAAATATTTGAATAATTTAATTAACCCTCAATGACAGGCGAGTGGCCGGACCAAGAAATACAATTACTAATATAAACAATCAGCCAAAAAATCAACACAAAATTCACCCAAAAATCAACTCTATTACGAGATACAGGTAGGAGAACAGAACACATATTTTGATATCTATTTTAAATATATGCAAAATGATATTTTAGATCTTAATACGAGTATTCCCAAATATTTGAATGATTTTCGGTAGAGAGCAGATCAAATATACTCGATACTCACAATCGAAAGCAATTGTTTTGCCCGCCACCGTTCAAGTGACACACTTGAGCAGAATTCTGAAGAGATCATTTAGGAACCCCTAAAGACACATATGTATGTATATGTATGTATATATGTATATACCTATACTCTTGTTTGTATGGTTTACCTTCTACTTACATACATATATGTATACAGGTATACTCGCACTCGCAGTGGCACTGCCATAGCCACTGCCAGCGGGGCACTCGTATATGATCCAGGGCCAAAAAACGAGTGTCATTTTTTCAGTATTTCCGCTACATTTGCATAGAGACGACTCAATATAGAACAGAGGACCAGAAGAGCAGCAGAGCAGCAGAGCAGCAGAGGCATGGTGAACAAGGGGTGTACAGGGCAATCAAAGATGATTAAAATATTGAACGAAGTAGCATTACCATTTCACATTTCCATTTCAATTCAAAAGCCGCGACGACAAATCAAATCGTTTACCCAAAAAAAAAAAACAAAAATACAGAAAAGGAAGGTGAATTTTCAGACAAATACGAGTAATGTGTGTGGAACTTTGATCAAGAAATAGAACCCAACATGAAGCTGGGAATAGGCCGGGTGATCACATTCTCAAGCCACGAGCTCGAACTAAATTAGCATTCGAGGCGGCGCAAAGTGGAGACAGGGAGAGCCCTGGATGGATGAGAGACACCCACCCTCTGCTCAGGGGCAAGCTAATCCCGCATCTAATAAATCTAATCATCATTCTCCGCCGACTCGTCTCAGGTTCACAATTGAATAATTGAACAATCTGCCGAATGAAGAAGGTCTATTCCATTGAGAGAGAGCGCGGTGCGGCGTATGCCACATGTTGTACCAGATGAGAGATCCCGGGAATCGAGAAGCGATGATCTGCGAAAAGTTAAAGTTTATTAAGTCAAGTAGATTTTTAAGACATAATATACCAAGAAATGATTATCGTTATAGCCAAAGAAAAGGTGTCTATATCTGCAATGTCTCATTGTTTTCATTGTTAATTGTTTATATTCCAAATTTATGTATGATCTATTGAGCACATCAATTTCATGAAGTTGCAATACAGATAGAAAAACACACACAGCAGAAAAAACTTATAAGAATCAAACTATCCTTTAGATCTTGTTCAACAATTAAGCATCTTTATGGTGTAACGTGTAAAGGTGGTGTAAAGCAATCATGATTATAATTGAGTGCATGATCATGAAGAAATCAAACTGCCAAAGTTTGCCAAACTAGATCGATGAGAGAACAGAGGGATTTTTTTTGTAGAGCTGAGAGCTCTCTACTTGAAGTGATTTGTCTTTGCCATGATCATCGTAGATCTGTTTCCCTCTGTATGCCACCTATGTATATGGCCACTATACACTATCCGCGCCACCCCTTGAGCGAAGCTGATGACGCGACCTTGAATCAAAATAGATTTTTATGCGCAACATTTATATTTATTTCATTTATTTTTCCCTCTTTGGCCGAGCCAGCGCCTCACGATCGTCGCACGATCGCCGCACGTCACCAAATGCCAAGCAATATTTGAATATTTTTCCTCTGACTTTGTCTCTCTCTCTCAAAGAGAATCGCTTGGCCAAGAATGCAGCCGGAGATAACATCATCTTTGAATTCAAGTGGAAATGCATTTTCATTTCGCATTTGCATACCAGATTCAAATTTAATTGAAATTGAAAGAGTGGTGTCCGGGGCGTACGAGTACGATGCCAGATGAACTGCTCAACGATTTGCTGAATGGTGCACATTTTTCCCTACACCAATTCATATTTGTATTCAGGCGTTTGATTGTTGTGTGATTGAAAAAATCCATTTGCGGGAAGCGCTTGTAAAACATGGAAAGTTCAAGCCAACATTCAGCAACGCTTCATTCCTGAATTTTACATAGAATTTCAATCGAAAGGTAGCGTTGCCCCATACCCCCATTCCCCTCGGGAAATCCATTTGAAAAATCCATCAAAATCCCAATCAAATGCAACGCATGTTTAAGATCGACTCTGGACTTTGACTATTGATTGGGCTTCAGTTTCAGATTTTTACTTTGAGAGTCCCTTGGGCTTAGCGTATCGAAAACCACTCATTCATCTTGACTAAACATTCATCTAAAGTGTTGACGATTTAGTAAGTCATTCAGTCATTTTCATAGATATGGATAGCATAAAGAACCAGGTTTCCTCACTCTATCTCTCTCCCACAGAGTAGCTTAGCAGTACAAGGAATACACGTTGTGGTCTATCCAAATATAGCTTACAAAAATTCACCTAAAGCTAAAAGTGAGAGTTACGGAGATCTAAAACTATCTTTCCGAATGCTTCTAATGAAAATTCAGATGAAATATAATCAAAATCGAATCAAATTTCTCATAAATGTTAACCTACAAACTGGTAGTGCCATTAGCTTTTGACATTTCCTAAATCAATATCTATGGAAGACGACAGATTTCCGGACATTCCGGAGGCAGCAAGCACAGATGCTCAACGGCAAAGATGGGACAAGTAAGATGTCTAAAGAGCAGCTGAAAAAGAGAGAAAAATAAAAAATGCAATTAAGAGTGGGTCATATTGTTTATGTAGTACTACTTTGTTATTCTCGTTTCAAAATATAATGCCAAAGACAACACCAACAAAATGCAAAGCTAAAAGATTTTCACAGAAGCAGGAATATCGAGAGGCGAGGCAGATATACGAATACACAGATACACAAACAAGGGGGGGGGGGGGGGGGGGGGGGGGCAAATCGAAGATACAAACTAATAATTCTAAGAAAAACAGAACAACAGAAAGGTCAAAAAGCGAAAGAAAGAAAAAGGAAAACAACGACAAGCAAATGACAGAAAATATCACATCAAATGCATTTAAATGGCAGGTGAGCCGGTGCCTCCGTGGAGACCCTCTCCTCCACCCCACTGTGACAGTGACAGCAGGAAAGGATGCGAAGGGGTTGGTGCCAGAGCGGTGGCTGCTGGCCGAAATATCCATTAGTATTGTGGACTGAATCAGCCAGCAGTCGTCTAATGACGAACCATCCCTCCCAAAAACCGAAATAGACCAGAGAGCTTCAAGGAGCAGGGGAGCCGGGAAGCACACTTTTGACACCTCAATGTCGTTCGAGTATCTCTTAAGTGGAACCTGGGGGCTTGGGGCTTGGGGTATCTTAGGGAATTACCATACCATACCACAGCAGAAATGAGTCAAACGAATCAAAACAAGAGGAAAAGATTTCCCAAGAATTTAGATGTCAATTGAGCAGATCATACGGACACACATGAAATGGTCCCAGAGGCAAAAGAGACCAGATCAAAATAAGGCCCAATCTACGATATTGTGGCGGAATCTCTAACCCATGAATATTGATATTTCTAACGAATTAACAAACTCAAGAGGAGGCTCTTCCCTGATATTAATAATGAAGCCAATGAAGACATTATAATGATTGGAAACGGAATCGATTCCTTTGCCAAAACCACATAGATACAGTCAATAAAACTCTAATTTACCCCCCGTCATACCCCTCTAATAGAAGCACCCCAAAAGAACCCATCCAACGGACAGCCGAATGTAAAAGAAATTTCCCGATGCACGTCACGTAATCTCTGTGAATATCAAATTACCGTCGATAAAAATTGCAAAAATTGAAATGCAATAAGGCACTAAACATTAAATAATTGACATGTCCATTGGCGAGGGGGCAAACAAGTTGCATATCAAATTAAATGCGAGGCCCAATCCCTCTATCCTACCATTTGGGCAAAATTAGTTGAGAGGGTTCGATACGTTCGTTCGATATATGGACTCATATTTGTGCGTAGGCACGTTGGAGCACGTGCGCGGCTTAAAAACGGGCAATCGTTGTATATGAAAATCAAAATCAAAATTAAAATGAAGCACAATTTATGCACGCGACATGGCCATGCCACCCAAAACACAACAGTTGATCGCCCACACAGATCTACTCGTAATTGGAACGGGTGACGCTAAAACGCAGCATTAATTGATTAATTATGCAAATTTAATTGTCAGGCTGAAAGAACAATATGAAATCTCTGTAGCATCCTATAAGGGTTGTGGGGAGACCCTGAGTGAAGACCCCTTTGGAATACCCTCACCCAAAAACCCAAAAATTATCTCTACTATGCGATCGGATCATGCTGGAGCAATGCTCTTTTGGGTCTCTGATAAACGTTTACCTCGCATATGTGAGGGAGTTTTTGGTTTCCTCATTGGGGATTGAATAGATGGTAAAAAAAGGCTAGCCAAACCCAAGTACAAATTCTCATAATTGAATAGATCTTGGTCTTTTCTTCGATCACTCTTCGATCGCTCTTCGATCGCTCTTCGTTCGCTCTTCGATCGCTCTTCGATCGCTCTTCGATCGCTCTTCGATCGCTCTTCGATCACTCTTCGATCGCTCTTCGTTTTCTCATTAAAACTAAATGTATACGCGTGGTTGTGCGTCTGGCCAATTGTTAGGGTATTTGTCGGATTTATGGCGTAAGCGCACAAAAAAGTGGATAGAACAAACAAACAAACAAAGAAACGAATAAAAGAGCGCTCGGCGAAACGAAAATGTTTGCCCAAAGCCGTCAGACAATTAAATATGAGCAAACACAGCACCAGGAACCAGGCAGGAGGCAGGAGGCAGGAGGCAGGAGGCAGGAGGCTGTAGACAGGAGGCATCAGGCATCATATACATACATACACATAACGTACACCCCCACGTACTAATTAAGTGGCCAGCAGTGTGTGCCATGTCCTGCGTCCACCTGTGCGTATACGTAATTAATTCCATTATAATCTCTTACGCATAATAAAACAAACAGAGGAGCGGCTCGAGTGGCGGCGGACGGGACTGCTG